TGCTTCGCCAGCTCACTTTCCTGAGTCCCTCACTGCTGCTGGGACTTGTAAATTAGGTAGGAACGATCCCAACTGTGTGTGCGCATGATATATCATACATATAGAAGTATATAAAATGCATATGTACAGTTTAAGGTAAAATAATACAATAAACACTTGTGCATCTGTATTAGTCAGGGTTCTCCAGAAAAACAGAACCAATAGGAAATATATAGATATATAGAAGATTTATTATGAGGAATTGGCTCATTCAGTTACAGAGTCTGTGGTCTGCTACCATGATCTACTTTCGGCAAGCTGGAGGCCCAGGAAAGCCAGTGGCATAGTTCTAGTCCAAGCCCAAAGACCTGAGAACCAAGAGCCCAATGTCCAAGCGTAAAAGAAGACAGATGTCCCAGCTCAACAGAGACAGCAAATTCACCCTTCCTCTGCCATTTTGTTATATTCAGGCCCTCAGTGTACTGGATGATGCCCACCCGCATTTGTGAGGGCCATATGTTTTACTCAGTCTATCAATTAAAATGCTAACCTCTTCTAGAAACACCCCACAGAAACACCCATAATGTTTTACAAGCTACCTGGGCACCTCTTAGCCCAGTCAAGTTGACACGTAAAATTAACCATCACACTGTCCAATATATAGGTTAAAAATAGAATATTGCCAGTTTACCAGAAGACATTTTGTGCCTCTTCCGACACACATCATCTTGAATTTTTGGTTAATCATTCTCTTGCTTTTCTGCATAGTTTTATTATACATGTATATATCCTTAGACTATAAACATATTGCTTAATTTTCTTGTTTTTAAACAAGAAATGGGAATTACATAGATTTAATTCTTCTAATCAGCATTATGGTTTTGATATGCCTTTGTATCAATATCTCTAATTCATTCATACTATTGGCTATACCGTGTTTCATCGTTTGAATATGCAATGATTTATTAAGCCATCTCATTGCTGATGGATATTCAGGATGTTTCCAGTTTGGAGCTCTTATGAACACAACTTCCTGTACATTTGTGTACATATGTCCAGTGTTAACCTAGGAATAAAATTGCAGAACTGTAGGGTATATGCCTATTCAGTTTTATTCTATCATACCAAACTGTCTTTCAAGAAAGGTGACACCAGTTTACATTTCTCCCAGCGGAGGATGAGTATTCTTATTCCTAATATCCCATATATACATCTTCAGAGTATAAGTTTTGTATTTCTTTTATTAATTTTTTCCTAATTATTTTGTTGTTTTCGATGCTGCTGTAAATGGGATTTTTCTTCTTAATTTCCCTTTCAGATTGTTCACTGCTGGCATATAGAAATACAATTGCTTTTGGTATGTTGATCGTGTAGCCTGAAACCTTTCTGGACTCATTTATCAGCTCTAATAGGGTCATCGTAGATGTCTCAGAATTTTCTGTATACAACATCATATAATCTGGAAGTATAGTTTTACTTATTCCTTTCTAATCTGGATGCCTTTATTTCTTTTTCTTGTCTAATTGCCCTGGCTAGAATCTCCAGTAGAATGCTGAATGGAAGTGATGAGAACAGACATGCTTGCTTGTTCCTGATCATAGGGGAAACATTCAGTCTTTCACTGTTAAGTAGAACATTTGCCGTGGGGTCCACAGATGCTCTTTATCAGGTTGAGGATTTTGTATTCCTAGTTTGTTGAGTATTTTATCATGAAGAGATGTTGAATTTTGTCAAATGCTTTTTCTGCATCTATTGAGGTAGCAAAAATCATTTTACCTTTGTACAAACTTTGTTCTGGGCCCTTTGAGTGACCCTTTTATGAAGATGTGAAGCAAGTTCACAACCATTACTTCCAGGAGAATGTAAACTAGGCTACTTTGGGGCTTGATTAAGACCTGGGATTTGGTCTGTGGAGCTCTTCCATGCATCTATTTGAATTCTCAAAATTAAACCAAGATCAAGGACCCATCTGGAAGGGAAGAGGTGCTGATGTAACCTCTTCTTAATGAGACTTGTCAGATGTGAGACCACTGTTATGGGAATATCTGCCCTGCCAGCCATCCTGGTAGATGCTTTGCTTCCTAGGGAAGTGCTTGTGTGCATTAAGGTGCTCTCCCCTGTACCCCATCTAACCCCTGTAGAAGGAGCATCTGCATACAGGAGGCTTTCTACAGCCACTATTACCAGATAAGACTTACAGTGCAGGATGTCCTCGGTCTGGGGGTGATCTGGACTCGGGTCACTATAGTAACACATGCAGAAAGCAGTGCCTCACTGGAGGTCTCCAGGTTTCCAGGGTACCATGTGCCTCAGTTAGTACAGCAGTTCCTGCAGTAGATAGACAGGACCTAATATCAGATTGCCCAACAGCTGAGAAGCCCTGAGACAACCAAGGGCCAGCAGGTGGCACTCTCAGTAGTCAAAAATGTGAAATTCAGCTCTTAGGGTCACTTCTGAGTTCTGCTGTCCTGGAAGCAAGCACAGGAGGATTTGTTCCCTGACTCTTGAGAAAAAAAGTGCTGGATAGCTTTCCTTTGACCCATCAGATACACCCTCCAACCTTCTCTTCCCTCCTCTGTGTCCAGAAGATTGGCATGCACTGGCGGACTCAACAGACTCTCTAGCTCTCTGTCTTCCAGTTGGGACTGGCCAGTGGGGTTTGGTCACTAGCAGGAGATCAAAGGGCAAGAGAAGGGAAGGGAAAGTCATTTATTCTCCTAATTCCCTCCCTGTTGGGTCAATAAGGGGTATCTATCTATCTCTCTTCCTAAGGCCACATTTCCTATCAGACATCTCTATCCAAACAGCGCTCACACGCTCGCTCTCTCCCCTCCCACCCTAGCCCAATGAAGGCTCCCTTCCACTGCCCTCACACCTCCCCTCACTTACTAAGACTAGGACCCTGTGTTGCTTTAACTGACCCCACCTGCATCTCTGTAAATAGCCCCTTTACTGAACCCTTTTCAAATAACCCAACTTGAGTGTGCTGTTTCTTGCCACCACTATGACTAGTACAGAAAATATGAGATCCTTGGACATATCTTGGGAGGGACATCTGGGGAGAAGAAACAGAATTTCTGCTAACCATTCTGCGTTTGAATTTTGAAAGAAATGTGAACTCTAGTTTTTTTAAATTATTTTTTACCCGAACTGGTAAAGCAGAGCACAGGTTACAGCAAGGCTTATACATCTATCCCCCTACCTACCTGGAAGCACCTGGAGGGTAACAGTATTCACCTTTGGAGTCCTGCGGATGGTAGATGTTCAAGAAATGTTCATCAAGCACAACTGAACTGTAAGACCTTAGGCGTCACCTCTCTCTCCAGGTCTGTTCCTTCACCTGTACAACCTCTATCCAGGAACACTGAAATTTCACCCACTTGAGCTACATAAGAAAAAAAGTTGGGCTTCCCTGGTGGCGCAGTGGTTGAGAGTCCGCCTGCCGATGCAGGGCGCGCCTGGGTCCGGGAGGATCCCACATGCCGCGGAGCGGCTGGGCCCGTGAGCCATGGCCGCTGAGCCTGTGCCTCCGGAGCCTGTGCTCCGCAACAGGAGAGGCCACAACAGTGAGAGGCCCGCGCACCGCAAAGAAAAAAAGTTGGTGCAGGGGTAATTGAAATATTCTTTAGATAAATGCTTTTATGTCAGCTTTATTGTTTTCAAGAACACAGAGTAATATGATCTTGGATAACGAAGGAGGTTGGGCAGAATGTCACTGGAAGTACTTTTAATCAAGTATTTTAAATGGCACATAATTAACATTGTTTTAAAGCAAAATGGCCCTTCAAAGGGTGCTTCTTCCCCTTAAGTAATTTACCTGAGAACAGGAACCAGATTAAATAGCAGAGCCATGACATGTGCCACTATGTACCTGTCTATACTTGACACCAAAAGAAATCTGCCTTGTATTGTATTATTGTGACAAAATGCCAGGTTACAAAACACCGTGTACAGCATGATCCCAACTATAAAATATTCATACCCATTTATCTATGCGGGACGGCGGATCATTTTGGGAACGGACGCTTGTTGCCTGCAGGTGCGGGAAAGTGTGAATTCATTTTCTGCTTTTTCTTTTTACAACATTTAAAAAACAAATAAATGCTCTTTCCATTAGTAAAGGAGGAGCCAGAGGGTCCGGCCTGCAAGGGCGAGGTTCCCCTGCAGCGGAGAAGGGCTAGAGAGGAGGACCGCAGGTGCAGGGACTCGGGGCCGGCTCCCTCCTGCCTGCGGGAGGCTCCACTTACCCCACGAGGGAAACGGGCGCGGAGGGCTCAGCGAGAACTGGGTGGAAGTGGGGGGAAGGGGAAGCGGTGGGCCGCCGGGTGCGCGGGTCTCGCCGGGCGCTGCGGGAGGCGGGGCGGCTGAGGGCCGAGTGCATGGGGGCGGCGTCTCGGCTTGGGACGGGTCTCGTCGGGGAAGGGACGCCAGGGGGAGGGGGAAGGTGTCGGCGTGGGTGGCGGGCGGCTGGGGACAGGATGAGGGGTGGGGCACTGTTGGGTCGGGGTCTTGGTGGGGGCTTTCGGGTGGGGTCCGCCTGGGCCGGGCTGGGTCGCGGGCGGCTCCGCCCCCCGTGGCTGGGAAGGCGGAGCAGACCAGCCCCAGAAGGCGACGCGACTCCGGGCGATGGCGGCGCCCGGCGTGCTGCTGGTGATGGGCGTGAGCGGCTCGGGGAAGTAGGTCCGGGAGGGCCGGGGCGCGGGGGAAGCAGTTGGGGGGCGGCGCGGGGCGGCGGAGGCCAGATCCGCCGGCGTTCCGGGCCCGCGGCGACGGGAGGGTCCTTTCCCTTTGCTGATGAGGGAACCGAGGCCCAGGGCACCTGCTCCCTCTCCCCACTTGCCAACCTGCTCGCCTCGGGGGCGCCCGGCCCGGGGCCACACCCCAGACTCGGGATCTCTGTCTGTAAATTTAGGCAGAGGCTTTAGCGAAAGCGCCTTGTGAAGAGGCGCCTGCAGGGGCGCGAATAGAGTAACGACTTCCCCGCGCCACCTGGAGCGGCCCGGGCCGTCACAGGTGCCCATGTTTGAGGGCCTCATGTGGGCACAGCGTGCAAGGGAGCAAGGCCCACAGAGCAGGGGCAAGCCTCGTCCCAGGCTCCTACAGACTTGTCAAGCTGGACAGTGCGCCAGCTCCCTCCTGCCGGGCCCTGGACTTTTCTGATTAGATTTTGGAACGTGAATTTAACCTTCCTATTTACTGTGTTCCCCCTTCAACTGGAGGGATTCGGTGTTAAAATGAAGAGTGGCCCCTGAAGGTTTGTGAGCAGGGAGGCGCACTGCATACCACAAAACCTCTGCCCAGCCCAGTCTGGCTAACTTGGGGGCTGAGGAAGCCTTTGGCTTCCTGTTTAGACCAAAGTCTGACAATGCCCTTTATTATCAGAAAAGGCAGCTACGGCAGCATTCCACCAGAGGCAGCAAAAGACAACTAAAATATCACAACCTCCAAAGGCTTATCCAGTCCCTTCTAGAATGATCTGAATCAGGAACTGCCCATGCGGTCCAGTGTATTTTAAAGACTCTTTCTTTCTCCAGGTAGGTAGGTTTGGCTTCCAAAAATTATTGTGGCATTTTTAGCCTCAAAGACAGGGAATCTTGAACTGAAATTTAAAATAAAACACAGAGCCAGAAAGTCCCTCACTGTGTATGACTGAAGAACTCAGAGAATGAAAAACTGCCGCTCTGGTGTGCTGTAGTGAAAGTCAAGAGCCCTAGGTCTTGGTTCTACTGCTCTCTGGTTGTGAGCTTGGGCAGTTCATGTGCTGCCCCCCGACCCAAGCCTTGGATCAGATGAGGGGAGGCTGTACCATATGTCATATGGTTATGATATTCATGCATTCAGTAAATGGTTATCGAGCTCAATCCTTCCTCAACGTCACTGACATGTAGTGAGCAGGACAGATAAATCCCTGCCCTCAAAGAGTTTACATCCTAGTAAGGGAGGGAGGCAGTAAGGGAATAAATACATGTGCAGTGCACCAGGCAGCAGTCGGTGCTCTAGGGGAAAATAAAGGAAGGTAAATGGAACAAAGAGCCAGGCAGGATAATGAGGGAGGGTTCCTCTGAGGAAGTGGTGTTGGAGAAAGACCTACAAGAAGAGAGGAAATAAGCCTGTGGATAGCCAGGAAAGGGCATATTGGCAGAGGGAATGGCAAGTGCAAAGGTCCTGACGCTTGACTTTCTTGTGGACTAGCAGGGAGGCCATTGTGGCAGAGTGATTGGGAGATGAGGTCAAAAAAAAATGCAGGTGAAAAGGAGTGGTCATATGCTGGAATATTTTGAAAGTAGAGCCAAAAAGATGTGTCGATGGACTGGATGTGGGATATGAAGGAGAGAAGAGTCATGGATGATTTCAAGATTTTTGGCCTGGGTAACTGGAAGAAAAGAGTTTCTGTTGACTGATGGGGAAGCAATAGGCAGAGCAGGTTTGGAAGAAAATTTCAGGAGCTCAGTGTGGGATGTGGTGAGTTGGACATGCCTATCGGTCATTCAAGTGGGCAATCAGATATCCAAGTCGAGTTCAGGAGAGAGGGACTTTAGGTGAAAATGTAGGATTCATCAGTGTGTGGATATGTTTAAAGACACAGATGTTCAGAACACCAAGGGAGTGAGTGTGGATAAGCTGGCCAAGGACTGAGCCCTGGGCCCTCTAATGGTTAGGTCAATGTCAACTGTTGTCAATGGACTGAGTGATAAAATGCCTGAGAATTGATTACATTGATCATTGGATGTAGCAACATTGAGCTCTTTGGTGACTTTTGTGAGCCCCTCTTAGGGCCCTGCAGGATTTTTAAATATACTCCATAACATTTGGAGCAGTGGGGTAATACCTTAAGAAAACAATAGCCTCAAACCAGAAAGATTCCATTTAAAACACTGTTAAAGTAATGTCAAGTAATAAGTTTATTGTGTTTATTGCCTTTCCCTCCCCTACCTGAATGTAAGGGATCTTTTTCCTTTTTATTGACATATGTGTCTAGAACAATGCCTGGCACATAGTAGGTGCTTAATAAATATGTATTGACTAGATGAATAAATGAATGGAGCCATTTGAGTGGGTGGCGGTGTTAGCTTTCTTTATATTTTTACAATCTTAGTGAAGCCACCCTCAGCTTCTTTCCGTGTTTCCTTCTTTTTCCTGCTGTCGCAACAAGCTCAGGCCTTTTGAATACCTTTCTCATTATTCTGTGCCCCAGCCTACTGCCTGCTGTCTTTTTAAGTCTCCTCGATCCTGATTTAGACCATCCCACTGGAAGACATTTGGGCCCCAAACTGGTTTGTAATGTTCAGCCCTGACCAGTCTCCTGTGAGCCGAGCACTTTGCCGTATTTCTGCTGGGGGTCCCTGGTCCATATTCAAACAGTCCAGCTGTCCTCTGGTTAGGAAGTTTGGTTAGAGTGGTAGAGAGTGGTTTTTCCATTTTCTTCTATCTCCTTCCTGCCCGTCTACACCCCAATCTAGTTAGCTTTTCTTTTAAATTATGACTGGTGGCTGACATGTTCATTCCTGGCTAATCTAACTTGGTCTTAAGTGTGATTTCCGTTGTACACAGCACAGATTTCACCAGCCCTGGAGTTCGGCTGGGACGGTTTAGTCACCAGTAGGCTACAACATGTCACCCTATGCTGCCTCCAAAGGAGTGAACATAATGGGAGAGGTTCTAGTTCTCTCAGTCCTTTGGTTACCTTCGGGAGCAGGTCTCGGTTTGGTACAAGTGTGTCTTTTTAAAACTTCCCTGATACCTTCTTAACAAAAGAGAGAGGACCCTTGGTAAGGAATAGATAGTATCCAGCTAGAATTTCATCACAATGTTTTGTTTTCACTGTATACATCTTTTTGATTGCCTCCTGTTTAAGGCAAGTGACTGTGGCTTCCTGTATAAGGGAAGGAAAGAGTTTCCTTGTTTAACACATTTGTTTAATTTTAAAGAGTGAACCAATGAAACAAATATAACAAGTAGATAATTGTAAAAGTGTGTGTAAAACTTAGGCAAGAGGGCATGATGAAATGGTAGGAGGATACAGTAAAAAATTCTGAAGTTCATACTTCAATGATTGGCATTTTGGGTAACACTTCAGAAACTGATAGCATGAAGGGGCTTCGTTTCTAATTAATTGCCTGAAGGCCTCCACCCATACCCTACGGCGCTAGCCTGTAAGCCTCAAGATGGCCAGTCTCAGTGGGCTGAGCATTATGTCCTAGGAGCTAGTAGACGCTCAGTAGATATTGGCTGAGTGAAATGAGTAGGTGAATGGGTAAATGTAGCTCAGTTCCCTTGTTTTACAGGTGAGAAAACTGAGATTTAGAGGACAAGGTGACATACACAGGAGGACACAGTCATTTAGTGGCAGAATGGAGACCGTGGCCAGACCTCAGTTTCTAGGACCCAAGCCCTCTTCACTGACCATGCAGCCTGTTAGGGTCTGAACAGGTAGATCATTCTCAGATGCATTGCACAGACAGCATTCAACTCCCAGACTTAATAACGAGTGCTGGTAATTCTCCATGTCCTTTATTTGAAGAGTGTGCCCCTTTTAAGCCCCAATATTTTAATGCTTTTATGAGCTCCTTGAACCTTGTGTGGGTGCTTAGAGGTTAAATTCCCTGTCAGACCTCTCCCTCCAATATCCTCAGTAGAATTTATCACTTTAATAATTCAATATTTTTTCTCAAAAAAATAATTACCTACAAAACAGGGACCAAAAACTTAAGGAAAAAACTTCAGGAGTTTAATGAGATCTTATGTATTGCTTTTGGGAGAAAAACTGGTGATGACTGGATAATTATTTCATTTAAATTCCTGGAGGAAACTAAAGCCATGCTCTAGACTCCAGGGTCAGGAGCATCTGTCTCAGTTTCAGTATCATAAATTGTCGGTGATTAATACCGGTAGGGCAGCCCTCTGCTTCCCAGGGCTCCTCGGATGGAAGAGGCACAGCGCAGGCTGGGAAAGCACAGTCATGTAACATCTATGTCCTCTCTACAGATCCACCGTTGGCACCCTGCTGGCATCCCAGGTAACCTGTTCTAATGCCTCCCAGTTGCTAGTCCCACCATGTTGTCTCTTTGCTTCACTCCCTTTCCCCTCCCTGCCTTTTCTTCTGGCCTGAGTGCTTTGTAAACTCACCACAGATACCTCCATGCAGCTTGTGAAACCCACTGGAGCAATTTTGTTTTTCTCCTTGGTGATCATAAATAGTGATGAATGAAAAAAAGCTGCAGCAGCCCAGGGAGCGGGATTCGTGATGCGACATCAGAGCCCTCCCCACTCCTGCACCTGGGGGGGGCGGGGGGGCGGGGTGGTTTTCCTCGGGCTGCTGGTGGGGAAGAGGGTGGCAGGGTTGTTTCTGTACCTGCCTGTTAGTTTTAGTAACCCCACGGTGGCTGTCACGTGGGCCGCACTACCTGCCACACACCCTCTTTCACTTTGTTCTTAAAGCTAGGATGGAAATTCTATGATGCAGATGACTATCACCCAGAGGAAAATCGGATGAAGATGGGAAAAGGGATACCTCTGAATGACCAGGTAAGGTCTGCTGTCTGTTTTTATTTCCAACACAGATGTCCTGTGATGCAGGGTGATGCAGGTTAAGATTCCTGCAGTGCTTGTTGTAGTAGAGTTCCTGAGTCATGCACTCACGTACAGTGCTCCAAAAGCCAGGTGCACAGCGGGTCCACCACATATGTTAGCTTTGGCCCTGAACTCCCATCTAAACTCTAAACTGGCATCAACAGTGATGCCACCCTCTGTCCCAGCTCGGCAGGATCTGCCGGAACACTTTGTTGACGTATTTTAATCTGCAGAATGTAATCCCTGAGAGGGCAGAGGTTCCCCTCTGCCTCATATGTGAGGAAGTTCATCTTTTCTTCCCAGGACTTATCAGCCTACCACCTCGCCAGGCCCTGGCATCTTTGCCTGGCAAAGCAAAGCCCTGGCTGCTTCCCCACCAGCAGCCCGAGGAAACCACCCCCCGCCCGCCCACCCAGGTGCAGGAGTGGGGAGGGCTCTGATGTCGTGTCACGAATCCCGCTCCCTGGGCTGCTGCAGCTCTTTTTTTCATTCATCACTATTTATGATCACCAAGGAGAAAAACAAAATTGCTCCAGTGGGTTTCACAAACTCAGACATGGCCCTCTGGAGCCACACGTCCCCTCCTTGTATCCACTGGAGCCACCCTTGCCTCTTTCAGTTGCTCTACCACCACACTCCTCCCCGCAGGGCTTTTGTATCTGTTGTTCCCACTGTGAGGAATAATGCACTTCCCTGCCCTCTTCTCAGTTACCCGGCTCATGCTTCACATCTCAGCTCCTGTGCTCCTTCTTCAGGGAAGCTCTCCCTGACTTCTAGGTAAAACCTCCTATAATAAACTCTCATGGCACCGTATCCCTTATCGTCCTTGTCCCAGTTGCAACATGGCATTTGATGGTGTGAGAATTTGATTACTATTTATCTCTGCAACTAGATTTTACCTCCAAAAGGGCAGGCACTATGGCCATTTCTGTTAACCATTATATATCCCCAGAGCCTGACACACAGTACATGTCAGAAAATATTTGTGGCAAATTTGTGAGTGAATGAATGAATGAGTGTAAGAATGAATGACTGGCGCCTCATTTCTTTATACACTGTCATGAGGCCCTTTCCTAGAGGGTCTCTCTCAAACCAGAGTCACTGGATTCACTGGCATGATTAGCTGTAACCCAGGAGAGACTGAGGGCAGGGCGTAGGGCTGAGTCCACAGAGCAGCTGAGAGCAGGGGCTCTAGCTGGGCCCACGTGCCAAGGGTGTCCAAAGGGCAGGTATGGTATGGAACTGGCCAAAGAGCAACGCTGGTGTTTTCACTTTCATGACCTTGGCTCACCCCAGTTGGGCCCCACTTTCTTCTCTTTGTCCTGCCGTGAAGGACTGGAGTCATTAACCCATATTAGGTCTAATTCTAGAGCACTCTGAGGGTTTTCTCTTTGTCCCAGGGAGTGCACCTCGAGTTTGTAATAATTTAAACATTAAACCATCAAAATCAAGTTTACAGCATCTGACTTTAGAAGGCAGGAGGAGAGAAGCAAAAAAGGGATACAGAGTAATAATTTAAACATAATAATGATATTATATGAGAGACAATAAACATAATATAGATAACCTGGCCTCACCACTGAGCTTGTGTGACTTTTGGCAGATGGCTTAGTATCTCTGTGCCTCATTTTCCTCCTGTGAAGTAGGGATGGTGACAGGACCTATTTCATTGAGTTCTTGGGAGGATTAAATGAGATAATATGAAAAATGTGCACAGAGAAATGCCTGAAGCATTCAGTAAATATCACTTCTTATTGTTGTTGCTAATATCTTATCTATATATACATACATGTAACAGAAACCATTTCTGTGGAGTGTGTAAAATGTGACTGTGCTAGGGTTATTTTATTTTTCTCCTTGGCAGGTACAAATGAAAATTAAAATAAGGAACAAGGTAAAGCAACCCAAATGGACAGACTTTAAAATGGCATTTAAGCAGCATTCCTCTTGTTCACAAGTGAGGCTTGTTAAGTGGGCCGTATGGATGGGGGGCTGGGGAGGAGAATTCAGCAGAGGAATTTGTTGTACAGAAGAAAAGGTTGTCAGTTACTGGAAGAAACACAAGTTACTAAATATATTTCAGAGGCAGCTGTACAAGTTAGCCTGACCTTAGAGAGAAGCAGAGAGAAAGAGGTAAGATGGCAGATGGCTTACATTTTTGATGAGAGCCCAGCGAGTCTAAGAGTGAAGGTGTGGGTCACGCTGAGCTGGCACCAAGGACCTCCTGGTTGCTCTGGCAACCAGCCCCCCACCCCAAAGATACTGTACGGAACATCAGTTAGAGTGTTAGAGTTAGACATAGCGGTTGGCCTTGCGGAAGAGTCTCAGGAGGGTTTGGGTAGGGTATTGTGCTCAGAAGGCTGAGATGTGAAGAGAAAGAACCTGAGTTGAATATACCAAAGGCTCCTTAAGTCTATTTCAATTAAATTAAATGTAAACTCCAGTTCCTGGGTTGCACTGCCACATTTCAAGTGTTCAACAGCCACATGTGGCTGGTGGCTGCTAATCCAGGTGGCACAGATAGAGGACATTTCCCTCAGGGCAAAAAGCTCTATAGGACAGCGCTGGTATAGAAGGATACGCCACCCAGGATGCAATACATTATTAGCGTGATGATGATGATAATAAAGAATTTCCAAGCTGCCAGTCAGTGAGTCTCCCATATGTGCCAGGTTCATGCTGTCCTGGCAGCGTATGGTGACACTTGAGCAGACTTCAACCTCAAAGTCTATTTAAAAGAGGTTTTTTTGAAAATTTTTCCCTGATTATAAATATAATACTTATCCTGTATAGAAAATTAACCAGTGCCGAAAAATCCTTTCACAGAATTTTCATCACCCTTGGTTTCATCTTCTAAAAATACCTACTAATTGAATTTGAGTTTTTCCCCCTTATCCTTTTTGGGGTATATATTATTTTTACATGCATTCTTTCCTCTGTGGGCTTAAGTTCACTTTTGCACCAGATAAAACCAGTCCATCGCCCGTTGTCCTCCCCTCCTACTTTCCTTGCCCTCTCTCCACCTCCCCCAGCAATGCTGGACACACTCATCTTCCATCTGTTCCTCTGAGCTCCTGCCCTGCCCTTTAACCATCATCCCCTTCCAGAAGACACTGTTTCTCTAGATAGGCCAAGTGCTTAAGCTCTGGGCTGGGGGTTCAGGGTACACTGCCCCCCCCCATCCCTGCATGTAAGGATTATCAGGAATGAAGGGACCTAGAACATCAGATCCAGCAAGCAGGGATATTCATTTGGGTTATGTTGTTTCCTCCTCTCTTTCCCCTAAGACTTTCTGTGTTTGACTTGCCTTAGTTACCATATTGTCCATAGTAACTGTTTACACACAGAGTTCAGTGAATTTGCTTTAATATATCCTCTGTTTTGCCCCAGTTTCTGCGTCTGTGAAAAGGAGATCTCAATCATTCCCTTTTTTCACAAACATGAATACAAAATTTGGAGCTCATGTGTCCAAGTCCTCCCTACGACCCTAACAGTAAAGTCCAGACTCCTTAGCAGGTCACTCAAGGTCTTGACTCTCTAGTCCTGACAGTTTCTCCTGACCTTCCTCACCTATCAACTCCCACACCTCCTGTTCACCAGTGCTGAGCTCCTGCCTCATCCATTTAGACAAGAGTCTTGGTAAACCATCTTTAATATGCCAAGTCTTGCCTTCCCTCTGCTTGACAGGCCCTGCTTCCATTAAAATCCTCTTTACCCTTTAAGATTTAGTCTTCCTAGGGCCTGATCAAAATTGCTCTCTCCCCTTGTCTTATCATAGCCCTTCTTATATTTCTTGGAGCCCTCATTACTGTCCTGTGGGTAGTTTAATTGATAAATACCCATCCTTAGGCTGTGACCCCCTCGAGGACAGGGACTGCACCGTTCATATTTATATCCCCAGTGCTTGATATGGTGCTTTGCACATATTTAGTATTCATTGTTTGTGGAGTTAGAGCCCACTGCCTACTAAATTTATTTATTAAAGGTCTTTTCAAAATTCAAAGTTGGAATGAATGCTGTTTATTGCAGCTATTAAATCAGCCAAAAAGTAATGTTAAAATGGAGTCTACTCCTTTTCCTGTTTAAGTCCCAAAGCAGCTCAATGTATTACACATGATTCCCCCATTTTGCAGATGAACAAAGGGAGGCACAGAGAAGTTAAGTAAGTTGAGCAAAGGCACAGAGTGAGGGGGATCTCTATAACCTCTGAGACTCTACTTTTTCTACTGTGTTAAAGGCCCTGATACTCCACAAACACAAAAATAATCTATAAGAAGTAAATCAGGGTTGATTAAGTGGAGCAAGAAAGGGTGACAGCAAGGGTGAGGGTGAGAGCAGGAGAGAGGCACAGCCCTCAGTGAGCACATCCATTGTAGGGGCCTAGGCCTTGAAGAGTATTTGAGGCAGGTGACACCTGGCTTTACACAGTAGGTCTGAGAATTCTGGTTTCCACATGGGAGTCTAGGTAGCCTCTGGAGCTGCTTTGGAAAAACTCTCTGCTTGTGGCCCCATGTGATCCTCCAAGGAAGGATCCCAGTTGTGTAATTATGACTCAATACTTGGACACTTCTGTAAAATAAAGTTGAAAGTGCTTCTGTTTTATCTCCAACCTTCTCTCATTGTTTTTATGGCTGGTGGACCCAGACCTTACCGGTACAGTGAATAAACTGGTGCAACATACATTCTGATTGGGCAAATGTCTGAAAGCATCCATTTTTGTTTAAATAGTTTAATGTTTCCATGTATTAATATTAGTTTTCATGGTTGAGCTTCTGAGGAATTTTATTATGATGCAACATGCTTAATTCTTGACGAAGGCACATATTGAGGCACTATTAAAACAATAAAAAAGTATGGATTCAAAGTAAAGTTCCATTTTCCTATACATAGGATAGGAAGCTTATTACCCAAACATGTTTTCCGTTATTTTTAATTTGTTTCGTCTTTATTGTGAA